TAAAGTTGTCACGTATTGCTAGTTCTGAAGCTCAGGCAAAGTATGCATATGCAGAATTTAAAGTATATGGCTGAGAAATGCAAGTGGGAATAAATAATGCCGGAGAAGTTAGCAGAGTTTACCTGGGCTATAAATGCAGAAAAAACAAAAAATGCAGCCTGAGTCTTGCAGAGCTGGTGGTTCCTGTGCTCACTTGCCAAACCATGGGCTGTCTCCAGCTCCATTGCTATGGGCTTGGGCTAGGGTAGCAGAGCTGTCTCCACCCCACACCAAATCACAGCATTCTGTCATATTTTAAGCACACGAACACAGATTCTCAGAGCTTGATCCAAAACCCATCAGAAACAATGGAGATATTTCTACTAAACTTTGAATGCAGACATAAATTAACAACAAAGATCTAATCTGCATTTTTTCCTCTGCATGCATAGCAGAAACAATAACTGGAGTCACTGAATAATATAGGTTCTTCAGAAAGGAGGGAAATAGAGCTGGTAGCATTACATGAAACATTAGGATAATTTGTAATGAAATGAGTTATGTCAATAAAACAGATTCTGTTTTGATCAAGCACTTCAAGCATGAAAAAAGTATTTTTGCAGAATTATTGCTTGCAGAAAATCCCCAGGGTGCCAGATTTAACTCTGCAACATTATTGCAGAGAGGAATGTAAGTAAGAATCTGTCATTAAAGGATGTTGAAGCTCACAAATTTCTTCACCAGTTGCAGATAATGGTAATTTAGATCTGGTTTTTGCTTTGAAATATGTAGGTAACAAAATTTAACTTTTAACAAAGCATCCAGGCATTGAGTTCATTAGCATTACATGACAAAATAAGTAATGATCAGCAAACTTTAATAAGCAAAACAAGCTAGTTAAAGAAGTGAAATATTCTGGAGCTTTATGGGTATTTCTGTGAAGAGGACATCACATTTCATCCAGTGTAACATACTGTGCTGTATCTGACAATGGGGGAGTAGGTTCAGCCACCCAGGAAGTCCCCTCCAGACCTATGTTCCTGTATTTCTCTGTTAAATGCAAGAGCCTTAAGTAAAGCAGAGGTAAGACACTTCAACAGATTTGGTGTCTGTCAATATTCTCTAACATTCTTTGACCTAATGCTGAATTTGGACGTTGGCTGCTGGACACCAGAATCTGTTCTTGTTACGGTGTAGATGTTTGAGATGTAGGACAGGATATTTATTGTCTACTCTATGGGGTATCTTATCAAACCTACCACTTCATCTAGACAGTTTCATTGAGATGCCCTCTCCATAGACCAGCCATCCTGGTCTCCCTTATCCCTGAGCAGTCAAGATAGGTTTCGTAGGGCATATGTAGACTTTGTACAGGCTAGTGAGGAAGACAAAATTGAGGAGAGCACCCAGTAGTGAGGATGTTGAAGTACAGAGATGTTCAGCCTGGAGAAGAGAAGGCTCAGGGGGATCTTACCAATGTATGTAAATACCTGAAGGTAAGGTGCAAAGAAGATGGAGCCAGGCTCTTCCCAGTGGTGCCCAGTGACAGGCCAGAGTCAATGGGCATAAACTGAAACACAGGAGGTGCCGTCTGAACATCAGGAAACTCTTACTGTGAGGGTGACTGAGTGCTGGAACAGGTTGTCCAGAGAGGTTGTGGAGTGTCCCACCTTGGAGATATTCAAAAGCCACCTGTACATGATCCTGGGCAGCTGGTTCTAGGTGACCCCACTTGAGCAGGGGCGTTGGACAAGATGGTGCCTTCCAACCTCAATCATTCTTTGATTCTGTAAGCAAGTTCCAGTCGTTTTAGTAGGTCTAATTCTAAAAGCCAAGCAAAGTTTGATGCTTAATATAAATGTTCTGCTTAACTTCAAAGATACCCACTCACTGTGAAACTGTGATTTCTGGAGGCAGGCTATGGCTTGCTCAGAAAATCAGGCAGGATTTATAAAGGGGATCGCTATTATGCTTGTCCATATGCACCCATTATTATTAGAAGCAGCAGGAGAGAACAGGCAGAAAGATGCTACAGGAATCTTTCAGGGAGTTTTCCTAAAGTAGAGAGGGTTTGAACTTTGTGTTAGCATGCCTCTGGCTCTGTAATGCTCTTATCTTATCTCTCTCTTCCTACCAAGTGCTGCTGGGTACTTCTCTCTGTGTCAGCAATGAGAAACTCAGCCTGGAATATGAGTTAGATTTGGAGAAACTCCTACAGTCCAGGGATGTATTTCAAGGATTTCTGAAATTAACCCCTTTTATTCCTCCTTCATGTCTCATGATCTGAAACTCCGTCTCTTCCCAGCTTACCACTGTAGCTTTTTCTTTGAGTTGAGCTGAGTAACTCCTGCCTTTTTCCCCATCCCTCTTAACCTTCAGCCATATGTTCTCCATATGACAGTACAGCATTATGGGTCCCAAATGCTTTAACTGTGAGTGAGTTACAACTTCAGAGTGTGCCTAGACGTGCTATTCATGTTATACCTCAGAAACCACGAAGACCTTTAAAAATGTTGATTCAGGAAATGCTAAAGAATTTTCTGCTGTCTTGAGAGGGATAATACAGGGTCTGAAGAAGGAGTTCTTACCCAAGACCTTCTAATGCTCAGTTTTGCCTGTTTAGCAATTGGGGAAAGGGGCTACTTGGCCTATATATCTCCTGATTGCACTCCTTGTGCACAATCTAATTTCTTTTCACTGGAGACCTATGTAATGTCAACAAGTTTATCTGATTTTATGATTTATGAAAAACATACTGGTTTAAGTTTTATATCATAGCTAATCCTGTACAAATGCATAAAGTGAAGGGGTAAAAGCAGAGAATGATTTACTTGCCCAGCACAATAAATGCATTATTCCTTTTGCACCCTGCCTGAGTATTGCAAGAGAGGATGAACAAACAGATTGGTCTCCTCCCACCACATATCTGCATTCCCAGCACTCAGGGAAATAAAGACTGCATGGATTAAAAAGTTGCAAGGGTACTATTAAGGCATAAGCTACTGAAGCAGGAGCATGCATTGAAGAGGTCTCAGTTCAACAGTATCAGTCCTGTTATGAGCAATGTCAGCCTCACTGCTGATGCGGAAGCCAGGGAGAACACAGGTAAGCGCTTTCTATACCAGGGCATGAGCAAATCACAATGAATTGCAGCCATTGCCACAATAATTTAGTACAGTACATTCTTTCTCTCTTTTAAATCTTGCCTTTTGAAAACTGTTTTACTCTCAGCTGCTTGAGGCAGAAACATTGGAGATCTTTCAGCGCTGCCTATGAAGTGACCTTAACTCTTTTGCTTATAGTTTGAAATCTATTTATGATGTACATTTAAGGCAGTATTTGCAGCTCCTAAGGTTTCTGTGAATAATATTCACAAACATTTAAACAAACTCTCTTAGTATTTTTTTCCCTTGACACCCTCTGAAGAGATCTTTCTCTGAATCACAATTTGTGCATATGCAATTAATTACTGTCAGGCTGTTAGACACGCTGATCGTGTGGGAATTGACCATTTCGTTTTCACATAGAAACAGCCTTTGCCTTGCGTTGTCACATAGAAACAACCCTTGCACTGGCATCTTGATGATGCTCTTTTCTCCTCAGTTTGCTTGATTAGATCTTTTGATTGAAATACTTGAAAGACATAATTTCATAAATGCACTTGAAGCAATTCCACACAAACAACCTCATCCTCCCTAAATCATTCTCATTTTATTGCTGAATTTTCAAATAGCATTAAAAACCATTACATTATGACAGGTCAGTTATTGAACTGTGTATCCTGTAGATGCTTCACAGTGTTGTCTGTATAAATGCTTTCCTGTTCCTAATTAATGGTAGGATAATAAGACAGTCTTCGCTTAGAAAAATAGTTTACCTTGTGGAGTTCTCTAACCAAACATCCTTCTCCTTTGTTATAAAGATGCAAACTGTTTTATCAAAGTGGAAACTGACTGTGGGTCATCAAATTATTCTGAATATAATTTGTACTGATTACTCATTTTTATTTTAATATGCACCTTAATAGTACTGTAAAAAATTATCTGTGGCTATAATTATATAGATCCATTCTAACAACAAGAAGAAACTTGAACTTACTTCTGAACTTTTCAGTAACAGAAGCTGGTTGGTGCATGAACAATATAGAAACCCATAAATAGCCTGTTCACTTAAAGTATTCTGCTTTCACATATGCTCTGACTGGTAGCGCTATACTATACATGAGACAAGATTTGGAGATAAAGGTAGTACCTTTATTTTTATTTGACCAGCTGGTTTAGCTGGAAATATTAAACTGATTTTCAGACATTTGCCTAGCTTTTTCTAATAAAAAGCTATTATACCTACCTACAAAATTTGTCCTGTTATTGTCCTTGTACCATCATGGCTACAACAAAATGCCACTAAACATCTCTACGATATGCAAGATACAGTTTAGTTCATGCCTAGAATGGGAAATGGCTGTAGTAGTCCTGGATGTCTGATAGCAAGTAATGACATTTAATAGGAAACTGTCAATATCATGATCAATGCAAAAAGTATTTCCTTATGTGCTTGCATGCACAGTCTTGCATCCCTATTCATTGATTCTTAAGACCACGAGTGCTTACTCTTCCTTTTTTTTTTTCTTTTACTCTTCACCAAACAATGGTATTCCTTGACAACCAACCCTCCAAATAAACGTTGATTGTATCTTGTGAAAAAATAATCTGTGGGCTACACTGAAAGGAGCTGAAAAAATAGGGAAGAAATGTTAAGAAAAGGTGTATGTCTGGATACAGCTTAATTCTCCAGCTGCGAGCTTCCACTGAAAAGAAATAGTACTGTCATTGTCTATTTGTATTACATTTGTTGGCAGTCAGACTTTACTTTTTTGTCTCCATTACTTGAGTCAGTACGTTAATCTAATTTATTTTATTATTTAGTAGAGTTCTACCTATCTCATAAAAAAAAAAAATGCACTGCATATACAGTAACTGATGTTGTCTCATGTTGTCACTATTCTTTTCTTCTCTTTTTAGGTGATGTCATTGTCTATATTAATGAAGTTTGTGTCCTTGGACATACTCACGCAGATGTAGTCAAACTCTTCCAGTCTGTTCCTATTGGTCAGAGTGTCAACTTGGTGCTATGTCGTGGATACCCTTTGCCCTTTGATCCTGAAGATCCTGCCAACAGCATGGTGCCACCCCTTGCAGTAATGGAGAGGCCTCCGGTAGTGGTAAATGGAAGACATAACTATGAAACTTATTTGGAATACATTTCTAGGACTTCTCAGTCTGTTCCAGATGTAACAGATCGACCACCACACTCCTTGCACTCCATTCCAGCAGATAGTCAGCTTGATAGCACATTCCCACCACCTGCCCATGATGATAATGTATCAATGGCTTCTTCTGGGGCCACCCAAGCTGAACTCATGACCTTAACCATTGTGAAAGGGGCCCAGGGCTTTGGCTTCACTATAGCAGACAGTCCTACAGGACAGAGGGTGAAGCAAATTCTAGACATTCAGGGATGTCCTGGTTTGTGTGAAGGTGACCTCATTGTTGAGATCAACCAGCAGAATGTACAGAACCTGAGCCATGCAGAAGTAGTGGATATACTTAAAGAATGTCCTGTTGGAAGTGAAACTTCTTTGATTATCCATAGAGGAGGTAAGTTTGGAAAGTCTGTACAATTACGAAAATGTGTGTAAAAGGTTCTAAACCATAAGACATACATATATATACTCACTACATCCTTGTGTGCTAGATTGCAAATTAATTTCCATGTTGCGGGAGGTAACACCATTGGTTCTGGAAAAGTGTGTCTGCAATTAAGTATCCTAGGCAAAATCTAACAGTTTGTTGTACGTTCCTTTTTGTGTTTTGAGTGTCAATGGTCCCACCTCTGTATAAGGGTAAAACTAGAGCAGTTCCAGACCACATAATAGTTTATATGGTATCTGCAGCAAACTCTTATAGTCCCAAAGCAATGATGTAAGCTTTAGATATATTTGTATATATTGACTCATTGAGGTAGATCAAAATCAGAGCAATCTATTAGCACTTTACAAGGTTACTGGTTTCGATAAGCCATTTTACCTCCTTTTTCTGCATTGTAAAAGTATTGTACAACAGTTGTTTTGTTTCTTTCTTGACAACGAAGATCCATAGTACATTCTTCTCTGTTTTTAAAAAGTAGCTTCTAGCAACTTAGTTTTTCTGACCAGCATGAGAGTAAGCTTGAATATACACCACTGGAAGGGGAGAGTCAAGACTTGTCTGTAAGGAAGCAATAACAACAGAAGTCTTAATACCTTGACGGTTATAAGTAATTTCGTAGCTTTTTATATTTTAGCCAAACAAATTTTCTTCAATGTTTTGAGATGAGCACCCATCACAATTTATTATTACCTGAAGTGAATAATGATTGAATTTCTTTAATTAAAGATCTTTGTTCCTCTCAAGGCATTCATACGTCACTGAATGTAAGTTATGCTGTGCTTCAAAAGAAAAAAAAAAAGGATTTTACACAAAAGTACAAATTACTTTCCTTCTGAAGAGTAAAGGTGGGGAAGTGAAGCTTTAATGTTTGTGTACGCCAAATGCTCATCATTAGAAAACCTACAAATCCTTAGAACAATGAATATACTAACATTTTATCAAATTGCAGAAATAACAAACATAAGGTGATTTAAATATCTATAGATTCATATAGTCAATAAAGTAACTTTCATATCTATATTTAAAAGAATGTTTTATAAGAGACAGAATCTGACATTTCTTTGGAATGAAACCAAATTAAGAGTGATAAGTAAAGGCCAATTGGTGTCACTATAGTATTTGAACTTGGAGAAAGTTAATTGTTGCAGAAGTGCTGTATTAGTTGGTATTAAATCTGGTTTTATTTGATATCCATTAAGAATCTGGAACATTGGAGTAAGCAACATTTTTTCTGAAGATTCTGACAAATTAGGGAGAATTTAATAGCAAAAAAAGAGTATAAAGGGGATTAGAAGGGTTAATGTAACCCCAAAAGATGGAATTTTATTTTGGAAAAAATCAAGCTAATCCCCCTCTAGAGGAAAACAATTCAGAACACCAATCTTCAGAGACAAGTGGAGTGTGAAATCCAGTATGCTGAACAAGCCTGACAAAAAATAGACAGCAAAATAGATATTTCAGCAATCAGTGCAGGACAGTAGCAAAAAAAAAAACCTGAAGCAGCAACATACTCATGCTCATAGGGATAATTCCTCTCTCTCAAGAGAATTTCTTCTTAGAGCATTGATTCATGATCAAAACAAGTTGATCCACATGATAGTTTAACAAGTTCTGGTACATTAACTGAGCTGTGGTTATTTTCTACACATTGCTGTGGCAGATAGAAGATACTGCACTGAGCTCAACCCTCAATAAAAGCCGTATAGATTTACAACATCTTGTCTTTTGTCAGGCCAAACACTGAGGTACCAATAGTTACCCTGGCTCAGCTGACACAAAATACTAGGTCTAAATGCATTAACATGTTCCTGAGTCTTAACCTTCTGTTGCTGGGGCAGGGGGTCATTGGTTGCTTTAGAGAATGCGGAGAAGAGAAAGAGAGCATGTTTTGTTCATGGTAAAACTATAACCAAGATGAAAGCAACTGTTTGGAATGCTATAGAGTGATTAAATTTAATGGGATGATACAGAAGAAATGGAAGTTTACTATCAGAAATTTCTGTAGATCAGAAGTAAGGAATATACCTTAATGCAAGGTTGTTAGACTCTAAAATTAAAGAAAAGGCTTGTTTATTTGAGTGATTCAAAAGAAGTGAAAAAATACAGTGTATGAGGCAAATCTACCTGAGAAATGGATAAATCATTGCTTAACAGAAATATGAGAACTGTCTTAAGGTGACAACTGGTATTTTTTTCATAAAATCATAGGAAAAGGGAATCCATGTGACCAAATATACATCTATAGTGCAGCTAATTATATCTATGCTAGTCATCATGTCTCCTTTTATAGTCCCTGGGCAGAAACAGGCCTTTCTAGGGTGCAATTCATGTCATTCCAATGTAGATGTTTCGAATAAGTCAGGTGTACCCTAAAAGTATATATTCTGCTTGAGTGACTATAAAGGGAATCAAGGATGACTGGTTCAGATGTACATGACTATCCCACATGTTATGAATAAGAAACAGATGATAAGAATTGGTCATGGGAGATAATCTGAATACAAAACAAAATTCTAGTACTTAGAGAAACCTGCTATCATTCTAAAATATTTAGTCTGTGACACCAGTGAAGCAAGGCATACTTTCTTGTTACTCATGGATCCAATTTTTGGTTTATTATCTCTAATGTGATATGACACTTAAATAATGCCATCATTTTCCATCATTACCCTGTGCATCCTGTCTTTAGTGTCTCATTTTTAAGATTAAGGCCAAAGTACTATTCCTGCCTGTGGAAGAGGAAGGCCATGGTTTGCATAAGGTTGTGTGTTGCCTTGTGATGTATTCTGTCTCTGATATGAATATGGCCTGACTGCATAGTTCACTGGGGCAAATCCATTTTTGCAAGTGACTTAATTTCTCTCTCTCATCCAGCAATCTTATCTACAAGAAACAGATTGACATTGGCTGAGATATATTCTCACTATAGGAAAGAAAGCATCTTATACAGGAGAACATGCTCCCTTGTACGCATATAGTATGCATGCTACAGCACTTAAAAGTCATTGTCCCTCCAGTTTAGGAAGTCAACAGCCAGAGTATGCTGGGGAAGGAAAGGTCTGCATGTTTCAGAAAGATGGAGGGAACAGCAGTAGTCAAATTTAAAGAGGCCACTAAAGAAAACTGTCTGAACCAACACCAAACAGACTTATCATGGGGTACAATCCAGCTGGAGGAAGTCCCACTGAATTTTTACTGTACTCATTTTAAAATTAAATTTCTATTTAATTTAAATTTAAAATTAAATGTAAAAGCAGAAGCAGTAATTTACCTGATTTTTTTAAAAAAAATCATGGAAATTATATCACTGTATATCTAAGAAAATACTAAGTGGCACTTGTTTAGATGATAACTATGATACTCTATGCCTGGAGATCTTACAATCTTCTTTCTGTTTATTAGTCAGGTTCTTTGCTAAACACAGATCTGTTTCTTAGTTCTGTTTCTTTGCATCTGTTTTTGCTCACCAGATGTGTATTTTCCATTGATTACTATAAGCTGACAGAAGTGTTCATACTGAAAAAAAAATAAAATGAAAGGAAAAGTTGGTGGAAAAATAAGCAAATATGAATAGAAAAAAAAAAAAAAGAAAGAAAGGAGGAAAAAGTTATGGAAGTGTTTGTTACCCAAACAGATTTACCCTTTCCAGGTTTGCTTCAGCCTTCATACTTCATCCTCAGCTTCTGCAGCAGTCTGCATTGAGTATAGGCTGCTGAAATAGTGTGGAAGAGCTCTCAAAAATCAGTCTTTCTGGATGTGGATAGAGCATAAATTCTGCATTAGTCCAGAACTACTGAAAAACAGCACTAAAGGGTTGAAGCAGTATGTACCAAATTTATGTAGAGCAAAATATTCTCTAATTAGGACATCAAAAATTGGTTTTGGCACGTTCTACCGAATGAGCTATCCAAGTACCTGACATATGCCATCTCTTTTGAAAAGTACCTTTGAAATATATGAACCTATAGACAGCAGCCCAGCCCCAGAAGTGTTCCAGTCAAAAAAAGAACTGACACATTCAAATGTAGATCCATCAAGACTATGTCTGAGTTACTGTTGTTAAGGAAATCTGAAGACAACCCATGACTGATTCATGAAGCTATGGCATCTCCTAAACAAGTGCTGTGAGTGAAACATTGAAACTAAATGCAAAAAGTGGAAGCCTGACAAAGTTCCTACATCAGGAAGCTATTTTATAATGGTAGAATCCAAACAGGCTCTGAGAAACCGAAACTTCGTACAAAATGGAGCCGGAGAACCGATGCACTGTCCATACTGGTTAATTATTAGCCCACTCCTGCCGTGGGACTGGAATAAACCAGCAGCCAGTTTCACCCTGACATGATACAGGAGGTAGTGTGGTCCATACACAATGCACAAACAGTCAAGATGACGAGGGAGAATTTAACTATGTTGATGTAAACTGTGAGAATAAAAGGCTGGCCAGGTGTTCTCAGGTTTTATATAAACCCCAGTAGAAGATTATAACTCCTTAAGACTGCTAACAGGTACCAGTACATCACACAAAACATCAGCAATTTCCAAACCAGCCAGAAAGTTCACAAAAAACCTCTCTGCATATTGTAATGAATAAGCCTAGCGCCTCAAAATGAGCAGACTTCAATGGAAGGCATACTACATTCTCAGTGCCCTTTCCATGAACTGATCTCAGATTTACCTCTCTACCACAGATGTGATTTTTATTTTGTCCAGGCTTGCTATAAGATGTCTTTTAATTCCTCTAATCAGGAAAGCTCATGCTTCTTTTTCTCCAAGTTGTCCTCTCTCTTGGGAAAGCTACACAAGATAAAGCTGCAGGCAGCACCATCAGCCTGATAACACTAGTCTGGGCCCAGGCAGTTGTGATCTCCTGTTCCATGACCTCAGCCCACCACTGAGGTCTCCATAGCTTTGACTCTGCTTCTGCAATTCTTCATTCAAACTATTGA